TTTTTTTTTTTTACTTAATCTTCAAATTTTCCTCAAGGCAAAATAGCTGCTCAGTGACAAGCAGTTGGTGAACTCATAGATAACAAGCTAGCCAATGGGAGACAGAGGGTGCTCTGTCCTTGTTAACACTGGTTGGTTCAAATTCCATGTTAGTCATGGACAGAGATGTCTTCTGCTAAGGCTATACTGTTCTATTTTTTAGTAGCTCTTTCCTTAGAACAAAAGTCTGTGTTTCTGACACTGGAATTGCCAAAGTTGAAAATTAGATAGGCTGTGTATTGTTTTCATTGGTATACCTCAAATAGCCTGATCTTCAGAGTCAAACTAACTTGAATTCATATGTGGAAAATACTGCTAGTGTTTATTCAGGCAATTTATATGATTTTTTGTGAAATTCATGAAAGAAGAATGACAAAGCTTACCTGTCAGATATGTGCTAAATAGTAAATAAATATACATATACAAAATAAATAAATAATATATATTAAGAATAAGCTTTTGCTTGAACATTTCATAAATCCTGTTTTTCCCCAGCCACTGACAATTATCTTCTCTGAAATATGCTACCTTATTTTTCAAATGCAATTGCCTTAAATATGATGATTTTTAAAATTGGTTCTCTAAAATTTTTTATAACTCCTAGTTTGCCATTTTATTTCATCAGGGGCTCCTTATTATTTGGTGATCTTTTGATGACATCTAACACTTAGGTTTTTTTATTTTCTAAACTAGAAATTTTAACTTTTTGAAAAAGAGATCACATTCCCTTTTTCATTTAAAAATATCCTCAGTGGTAAAAGCAATGCATTCATGCCAAGAGACTCATCAAACCATTACTGCTGTGAGCCTACTGACCAATCACCTACTAAGTGGATAAGGAAGAGTGGCATCTGGAAGGATGTAGAGCAGAAGAGGCCCCCACTGCTACTAAACTTTAAAAGAATGCTACAGAAACGTGGATGGGATCTCCATTCCTTTCCCATTCCCTTGTAAAGGTTTTTGGCCATGTAGGCAGACAGGCCTCCTTCTCACACATCCTAACCCATCCATGCAACACATACATCCAACGAAATGCATACGTGGTGTTGAAGAGCAGAAAGCAACAAAGTCCTTCTCCACATGGGCCTTGTGGACACCATCATGCATCTGGTTCTCAGAAAGCTGTGAAGAGCTGTCCACTGAGCCTGCTGGAGAATCGCTGACCCAAACCTCTCCAGTGTTTCCTATGGAGAATGATATGTTGTTATTTACTTACTCACTGTTGAATACATGTTAGTTCTTTGACAACTAAATAAATGGGATAGATTTTATAAAGATTTTCAATTAATTTCACACATAAACACACACACACACACACACACACACACACACACACACACTATGGGTCTAGCATTGCCACAGAGGATGTCAATGAATAGCAATCACATTCTTGACCTGGAAGGTACCAACTGAGCAGAGGCAGTATTGCTGCTATAAACATACATTGGCTATGCCTGAGTAAAGAGAGCCGTTTTTAGTTTCATGGCAGTTAAAGTGACAATAACACAAAAGCAAGGGAGGAAATAACTACTCTGTGCAAAAACAGACATTAAATTCTAAACCTGTCTTTTCACTTCCTTTCCTTCCTAATTGCTACTTCTTCCTTCTAAACCATTCCTCAAGTGATGTAATTACATTAAAGTTAAAAAAAAGTTATAGGAAAAATAAATGCCATAATAATTTTATTTTATTCATCTTATTACAGTATAATTTACATACAGTAAAATTCATCATTTTGGTGAATTTTAACATATGTACAGTCATATTGCTATCTCTGTAACAAGATGTAGAATAACCCTCCCATCTTCAGCTTCTGACAATTATTACCTGTGTTGTCCCTATATTTTTGGCTTTTTCCAAATGCCATGTACAATAGAATCAGGTAGCATGCAATCTTTCAGGTCTAGCTTCTTTCACTCACTTCGCATTGTTTAATTATTTTGAGACTGGGTCTTGCTATGTTGCTCCTGTTGGTCTTGAACTCCTGCCTCAGGCTTGCTAATAGCTAAGACTAGAGGCACAGGTCCCCAGCTTTCATTTGGACCCCTCACTTTCAGGTGAAACACTTCACAGTCGGAGATCGTAAAATTTTAATAACATATTTTTTAAATTAAACCCTCTTCATACCACAGTTTTAATAATTCTATGTAAAAAATAATTTAGAATTCATATTATCATCGCCACTTAACTGTGGTTCAATGACGATTTACTTTGAAGTTGGATAGCATTTCTCTGTTGCCACCCCTAAATGCTCTTTCCAAAGAAATCTGTTTGATATAATGGCACAAAAGTAAGGCTCATGGCATTTTCACCAGATTAGAAAGCACATAGTATAAGCCTCAGCCTGCATGACATACACCTCTCTTATCCCTGGGCCCCATTGCAACTCACCCCCTCTACAGGCCTGGATGATGATGACCTTGGGTTTGTCCTTCAAATGGGAACAGTTCTGGTTGTTGAAAATCTGGAAGATGGAATCATAAGGCAACACATCTTGTGTTTCAGCACCATGTGTGGTCCCACAGATCGCATCAAAGATGCCGTGGGACATGAACACCAGGAACGTGCTGTCTGAGGACTTGTGCTCTAGGCGGGCAGCAAAATCTCTTAGGACTCTCTTCATGGCCTGTGAGAGAAAACATTTCACCATCACCACACAATATCTACACTTTCCCACGTTAAAGCTTTGAGCAATAGAAAGAATAAACATCAAGTGTCTGGCACATGTCAGAGCTTAATTTATAAAACGTACACATGGATGACAACCATTGTTATTTCTTGTTGCTATTAATGTTATTGTAGTAATTCAGGAAAATATTTCAATACTCTATTTCTATACGTTTCCCTTAATTTATTCTTAATATACTGGCAAATGTTTTATTGTGGCAAAATGTGCATAATCCATTATTTATCATTTTAATAATTTCTTACCTTATAATTTAAATATATTCATATTGTTTGATAAAATCTCACTACTTTCTGTACAAAACCTTTTTCACCATCCCCAACAAAAACTGCATTCATTAATTTTAACTCCTCCTTATCTCCTAGTAAACTCTATTTCACTTTCGTTTTCCTATGAATTTGCTTATACTAAGTTTATCACATAAGTCAAAACATAGGACATTTATCCATCCTTTTCATTAAACACAAAGTTTTAAGACCCATTCATGTTGTAGAAAATACCAAAATCTCACTTCTTTTTATGACCAAATGATATTCTATTTTATCTTTATGCCTCATTTTGCCTATCTATTCATTTGTGGATGGACACTTGATTTTTTTCCCCACACTAAACTTTTGTAAGTAATAATATAATGATATAAATAACGACATACAAGTATATTTGCTAGAGTCTCTGCTTTTGATATGTTTAGATATAAATGTAATTAGGAGTGTAATCAGTGGGCCATATAGTAGTGTAATCTTTTAAGAACCACCCCAGAGTGTTTTCCACAGTGACTACATCACTTTACATAACAAATATCAAAACACAAGTTTCTAAGTTTTCCACATTCTGGCCAATACCTGTTATTTTCCTCCGTTTTTTCCTCTTCCTCTTTCTTTTTCTCCTCTTATCATGGCCAACCTAGTAGGTGTGAAGTGGTGACTCATTGTGGTTTTGATTTCCATTTTTCAGGTGAATAATGATGTTGAGCATCTTTGCATATGCTTACTGGATATTTGTTTGTATTCTTTGGAGAAATAACTATCAAGTCCTTAGCTTATTTTTTTGAATCAGATTGTTATTGAGTTTTAGGAGTTATTTTGTATATTCTGGATATTAGTCCCTTAGCAGGTATCTGATATGCAAACCATTCTTCAGCTTACATTTGCACTCTCTTGTTCATATCTTTTGAGACACAGTTATATTTATCAATTATTTTTTATTGCCTGTGCATTTGATGGCATATCCATGAAATTGTTTCCAAGTTTGATGTCATGAAGAATTTATTCAATGTTTTCTTCCTTGAGATTTATAATTTCAGCTCTTAAGTCTAGATCTCTGATTGATTAAAACTTAATAATGATAGTATATATAATTTATGTTAGGACTCCAACTTGATCTTGCATGAGAATATCTAGTTTTTCCAGTATCATTTATTGAGAAGAAAAAGACTCTCCCTTCCTCACTGAATAGTCTTGGCACCCTAGTTGAAATCAATTAAACACAAATATGAGGCTTTCTGTTCTATTCCATTGCTCTATATATCTGTATTTATGATGCTATCTGTAAGAGTTCTGACCGTGGAAATATATAGGACAGTGTTCCTCTAGTGAGCCAATTCTCAAAGGATACCAGGCACCCTGTCTTCCACAGTTGGAATATTCTGCAGTGTTTTCCCAGGAACTGGAAAGATAACTAATCCACGTGCAAGGCCTAACTGCTATGGCAATGCCCTGTGGCTCTATGCTAGAGTCTTATCAGTCTCAACCTTAATGTCAGGTATATAGCTCCTGGTAATAAAGGAATGTGCTATAACTATAATGTTTCACCAAGCTCCAGTGTTCCAGGACCTGCCCACCTAATGCCTAATGGTAACTTCAGATAATGGACTTTCTTGAGAGCTACACAAAGCTCTTAACATTGTATATTGAACTGTAGAATGTAACTGCAGAATAAGAAAACTTAGTGATACAATAAGCAATAATGTAGTTATGGCACTAATGACCTAATATAACCTATTAGTGTAAATAAAGGTGGCCACTTAGATGAGCAGCCATTTTTCTGCCTTGGCATCTTATCTCTGTGTCTCCTTTTATTTCTTTCCAGTATTCAAGTTTATTTATTTATTTATTTATTTATTTTTATGTGGTGCTGAGAACCAAACCCAGGGCATTGCACATGCAAATCGAGCACTCTACCACTGAGCCACAACCCCAGTCCCTCCTTTTATTTCTTTATAGGTATCATATGTTTTAATTACTTTAAAAAGAAAACTTTCAGCTTTCTTTTTCTTTTTCAAGATTGTTTTGGATATCTGAGCTTCTTTGCAATTCTCTATAAATTTGAAAATTGGCTTTTCAAATTCTCATCCTCCCTAAAAGAAAAAAAAAGTCTGTTGGAATTTTGATAGAGATTTCACTATATATGTAGATCACTTATGACAGCATTAGCATGTTAATAGTATTCCCTTCCAATGCATAAACATGGATTATCTTTCTATTTGTTCAGATTTTCTCTATTTCAACAATATTTAGTAGTTTTTGGTGTACATGTCTCTCAGTTCCTTTGTTAGATTTATTCCAAAATATTGTATGCTTTTAGGTGTTACAAATAGAATTGGTTTTCTAATTTTCATTTCAATGTGCATTCTAGCATATAGAAACACAAGACCGTATTTTTATGTTAATCTTGTACTTTGCAACTCCTATGATGATGACTTTTTTTTATTAGTTCTGATAGCCTTCTATTATAAAGCTAGTGGTAGAATCTGTGAATAAATAGCATTCCCTCTTCATTATCAGCCTCTTACTTCTTCTTTCTAATAGCTCTGGCTAGATCTCAAGTACAATGTTGAATGCACTGATGAAAGTGATCATTCTTACCCTGCTGACTGATCTAGGAGAAAAACTTTATCTGAGTTTCTCATGAATACTATTTAGCAGATTGAGAAATTTTCTCTCTATTCATAGTTTTCTGAGAGTTTTCTTTGTGCAAATGTGGATTTTGTCAAATTCTTTGTATCCATTAATTTGAGTCATCACAAATTTGTTGTTTTTGTTCCTGTCATCCTGTCCATGTGATCTGTTATCCATTGTTTCTCTTATGTTGAAACACCACCACACTCCTGGGATAAATCCCACTTGGTTAAAGTAAAGAATCCTCTTTATTTACAAAATATAATGTTCTGAGATTTTATTTTCTTATGATTCTTATATTCAGCTTTAGGAGTATAGTAATTCTAGCCTCATAGAATGGGATGGGTTATAAATTATTTTCTCATCTTGAATTTCTTGAAAGATTGGAGAAAATTGTTGTTAATTTTTTAAGTGTTTGGTGGAATTCATTGGTTAAGCCAGTATTCTTTGTTGTGATGTTTTTGATTACTGATTGAATCTCCTGACTTGTATAGATTTATTTCAAATTTCTTTATTTT